CATTAACTGTTCTTGAACATACAGACTTTATGATAAAATTGTTGTTCATACTATCAATCTTAGTCACAGAATCGATTTTACCAGTGAATAAATACCTCTGTGGGTCATTATAACTTCTTCCACTAAATAAGTCAGTTGTAAACTTACATGAAACAGTTTGTTTATCATCACCGTCAATATAAATGAATGGAATTGTTTTAGTTTCATAATTTACAGCTCGATTACTGAAATCAATAACCCATTTCTCATCCATTTTAGAATAAACAATAATTGACTTATCAAAAATATAAATATAAGCTCCATAATTATTACTAATACTTTTACGACAATTATCACTTTCAAAACAACCAATACCAACAAAAAGACCATCAGTTCCATGTTTATGATAAATCCATATTATTATTTTTGGACGGTTAGTTTCAACTATTAACACTTTAAAGGAATTAGATTGAAAATTTGGTGAAAATGAAAAATACATATCTCTATCATTTATACTTCCTTTAATATCACTAAACTTTTTGATTGATCCTATTTCATTATTTTTTATTTCAAAACGATAAGTTTGTCTATTAATAACACTCTCTGAAGAGTAACTCCATCCTTTTCCATTACAATTTGATTTCTTTGTGTATTTATATTTAACATAATCATTATAATCGTCACTCCAACACCAAGTTTTTCCAAAAGAAAGTACAATAAATGTGAATAAAATGAGAGTTGTCATTATCTCAGTGAAGTAGAATTTAAATATTTTTAAATAAATGAAGATGTGGTTCTTAAGTAACTCAAAAACATTCTTCAAATTTGGTTGTCTAGAAATAATGGTTATTTTGTTGTAGTATAAAAATACTTCTAATGCAAGAAAGAATAGTTTGATGTATAAAAATACAATATGTTATAAATAATGTTAGAAATAATTCAAAAATAAGAATGAAGTGAGTTTCTTAATAAAATTTTTAATTAATACTAAAAATAAATAATAAATTGTAAATCATTGAGTGAGTTTAATCACTTTGTTTTTTTTTATATTTATAAATAAATTATTTAGTGTGAAATTGAGTAAAACCTTTCTATTTAAAAATAGTTTATTTTAATGAATTTGATTTGTGTGTAATTTTGTAAACGTTATTGTAAATTTTGTTTTTTAATGTCATGTTATTAACAATACTTTCAACCAACACTAAAAACTAATTATTAATTTTTTTAATTGTGTCAAGTAAATCTAAATTAAATTTAACGTAAAAATAACAAGAAGATTCAAAATGAAGAAAAAAGGGTTTATTGTTTTTGAAAATTTCAACTGAAAATACAATTCCAAAAATAATTTTTGGAAAAAAGTAAAATAATTTGCAAGTGTTATATAAAAATAGAACACATGAAAGTATTTTTTCACTTTTTGTTTAAAAAAGTGTAATAAATCCAATAGTAGTTACTTCAGTATTATTCAATTTATTTTTTTATTTGTTTTTATTTCTTCAAAAGAAAATAATCATATTCTTGTCATTTAGGAATAATACTCATCCACTATTTACTTATTCTTTGGTATTTCATTGTTTAGAAGTGTGATTTCCTATTTTTCATTCATTTACTTAGACTGAATTAATGTCTTTTTATTCTTCATCCATTTAAATATTCCCCATTTAAGTAATTGTCTCTTCTTTATTTTCTTATTTTTGATGAATGAATTGATAGTAATTAGTGGTTCAATGCTTTGATTTATTTTTGTGTTTATGTGGAGTATTTGATGTGCAACCTTTGAGAATTAAATGAAATAGTAAAAGATTCAAATAAATGATTATACAATTGAAATTCTAACAAATCAATGAAGAGAATGAAAATTATTAGACTTGTTGTCTTGTTTTAATAAAATTTTAAGAAAAGAGATACAAATAGTTAATAATAAATTAAACATTTCCATTATAGACTACCTCAAAACTACATTTTTGTTATGTGGTTTAAAAAAATGTTGTATAATTCTTTGGTTAAAACTACTTGTTAAACTATTATAGATTTTATGGATATTTACGAATTATATTAAATATTCTTTATTGATATTGAGAATTATTCATTTTTTATTTTTATTGTATTGAATATTATTTTTATTGTATTGTTATTTGTATTTATTTTATTATTATGTTATTTAAGTATTAAAATGAAGAATAAAATATCATAATTTTATCATTTATTAATATATATATTAATAAGTTTACTTCTTTTTATCACTTTGTTATTTATTCTTATTTATTTCAATTGATTGATGTATGAGGATTTGTTCATATTTATTCATTGTTTATGAAATTGTGTTGAATGATATTTCAACAAGAAGAGAATTATAACATTAAAAATGAATAATAAAACAATCTAATTTGTAAAGTAATAAAGAATAAAATATTGTATTAATTGAATCAACACAATAAAACAAAATAAAAATAATAGAAATATTCATATAAATGAATAAAAATGATTCATTATTCTTATTTATTGATTATTATTCTTATCCATTTAATTGTATAAAATTAATAGAAAAGATGAATATTCGTTATTCTAAGAAATGTATATTTATATATTCTACAAATAATAGAAAGATTAATGTAATAACAAGAATAAAAATGAAATATAAAAATTACAAATAATAATTCACTTGTTATTAAATAAATACATATCATTTTCATTTTATGATAATTCAAAATGATATAAAATTCAAAATTATAAAATAACATCATTAAATAACATTGAATGAAAATATTTTTTATAAATTGAATTTCATAAATAAATAATTTAAATTCATAATAATAAAATAGAAAGAATAATACAATGAATATGACTAAAATAAACATATCAGTCAATAATAATCAAATCATTACAACATCAATTTAAATAAAAATGAATAACAGTAAAATGAAATAAAAATAATGATAAATAATAATCATATCATTATAATATCAAATTAAATAAAGATTAATTAAATGAACAAATCAATAAAATGGCAACAAAAAACAAATAATAGAAAAAGAAGATAAAGATATAAAAGAATAAAATGAAAGTAAGAAGTAGATGAAAAAAATAAAAGTAGAAAGTAGAAGAAGATAAAGAGTAATAAAACAAAAGAAATGATAAAAGAAGAAAAGAAAGAGAAAATAAATTGTATTTTTTTCTTGCAAAAATTAGAAATATGAAATAAAAGTGTCTAATTTAATGATGTAAAATAATTAATATTGTTTTATTGATGAAAAATATTTTATTCGTTTTATGTTTATTATTTATATGTATAACTTCATTATGATGTTTATTATATAATCAATCATAAGTGTTATGTTATTATTATAAAATATAATATGTAATAAAATATAAATGAAAATGATATGAATATATAACATAGATTGAATATAGAAAAACAAAAGAATAATAAGAATAAATGATAAATAAATATAGAAAT